AGAAGGGAAATTCTGCTGGATCTTCTTGATTCAGAAAGAAAAGCCACAAGAAGAGGGCCCTGGAGCACTGTCTTGACATTGTGGGCTCAGGCCAGTGCTACTGTGCAGAGGCAAAATAGACTGGGACCAGAGGATCCGTGACTGCCTGGGGCCGGGGGTGGGAGCAGCAGTTGACAAGAACAAAGACACTTTGGTGGGGGTGAGGAGACTTTTCCAAAACTGGAGTGAGGTGATGTCTGCACAAATATGTACATTTACTAAAAATCATTAAACATTGTATAATAAATAAATAAATTATACCTAAAAAATGCTGTTTAATCAGGTGTGGTGGCTCATGCCTGTAATCCCAGCACTTTGGGAGGCTGAAGTAGGAGGATCCCTTGAGCCTAGGAGGTTGAGACCAGCCTGGGCAACCTAGGGAGGCCCTGTCTCTACAAATAAAAAATAAAATTAGCCAGGCATGATGGCGCATGCCTGTGGTCCCAGCTACTTGGGAGTTTGAGGTGGGAGGATCACATGAGCCGGGAAGGTTAAGGTTGCAGTGAGCTATGCTCCAGACACTGCACTCCAGCCTGGGCAACACAACAAGATCCTATCTCAAAAAAAAAAAAAAAAGAAAGAAAGAAAAAGAAAAAGAAATGTAACATTTTTAAAAACAAAAGCAAGATTGAGCTATAAACTTAAGATATGTCCCCTTTAGTGTATGTTTGTTTTACTTTGATGAAAAAGTTTATCAGAAAAATGCCTAAGTTCCAAAGGTGTTATAATTTGAAAGAAAAAAAGTTATATTCCTTGCAAGGTTTTTTTTTATTTTGTTTTGTTTTGTTTTGTTTTGAGACAGGGTCTTGCTCTGTTGTCCAGGCTGGAAAGCAATGGCATGATCACAGTTCACTGTAACCTCCATGTCTCAGGCTCAAGCAATCTTCCCGCCTTAGCCTCCCAAGTAGCTGGGTTTACAGGCACATGCCACCATGCCTGGCTAATTTTTGTATTTTTTGACAAAAATCAAAGACCAAAGAGACAGGGTTTCACCATGTTGCCCAGGCTGGTCTCAGACTCCTGAGCTCAAGCAATTATCAAGCCTCGGGCCTCCCAAAGTGCTGGGATTACAGGAAATGGGTTTAGGGAAAAAACAGATATACAATAACTCATAGCATTAAAACGGCTGCAATGGCCAAGCATAGTGGCTCACACCTGTAATCCCAGTACTTTGGAGGGCCAAAACGTGTGAATCACTTAGTCAGGAGTTCGAGACCAGTCTGGCCAGCATCGTGAAACCTTGTCTCTACTAAAAATACAAAAATTAGCCAGGCATGGTGGCGCACACCTATAGTCCCACCTACTCAGGAGATTGAGGCAGGAGAATTGCTTGAACCCAGGAGGCAGAGGTTGCAGTGAGCTGAGATCACGCCACTGTACTTCTGCCTGGGTAACAGAGAGAGACTTCATCTCAAGAAAAGAAAACAAACAAACAAAAAAAACCAAGGCTGCAAGAACTCTGAGAGGAAACAACATTTTCAAACTTGCCACCCCTTAGAAACAGGAGAGACCTATTTCCTACCTATTTCAAGTCTTCCAAGCTGAGCGCCAGGCTGCTGTCAGATATATTTTAAAACCATGAGCCCTGACTTCCGGATCCAGGCTCTGGCTCAGCTATTCATTAACTTATGATCTTAGGCAAATTTGCCTTCTTTCTCTTGGTCTAATTTTTCCCTTCCCTAAAACCAGGACGTGATCCCCGCTGGCGACAGTATACTGTAGGGTGGTGGCTCATGGGGTAAGGCTCTTGCTGTGCCTCACTTTCCTAACTGGAAGCTGGGGAGACAGTAGACCTTTGTGGTCTGTCTGCCCCTCTTCTCCCCTCCTCTTCCTCTGGTAATACCAGCCCTACTCTTTCGAGAAACTTCTCCTGCCTCCTCCACGTGGCTACTGTTGGCTGCATCAGGACCTCCATGGCAGTAGCAGGGGCACCAAGAAGAGGGTGAGCCAATAACAGAACCAGAAACACAGATGTCAGAATGAGATATGGGCCAACCTGACTGTCTGAATGACCCTGAACTCACACTAATCTTTTCAAAGGTGTGTATATGGAAACCCCCTTCTTTGCTTGAAAGTAATAATTACAACTTCCCTCTGACCTCCTACGCTCCTGATAAAGAAAAAAGACCAATATCAAAGCCAAACTTCTTTCTCTCAATTTTGCTCAGGGCTGGCAGTCCATCTCTGGCTTGGTCTTACCCTCTCCCCCTAGCCCTGTGCCAAGAAACTCATGCAGCAATCACACATTTAAAGTTTAGAGAGGGGTCTAAAGGGAAGAGTAATTACCAACATCAAGGGGTCATTATGGAGGCCACTGCTCAGGTTTGAAATCTTTTTACACTGATGTCCAAACAATGACAAAGATAGACTTTAATTGAAATATTTATAGCCACCAAGAAAAAAAAAAAAGAAATTTCCACTTGCCAGAGTGCTAAATGGAGAACTAAGTCTAGTAGCACTGTTTCCATCTCAGTATCTTCTGGAATAAAGGACCAAGGCCCTTTTGAGCCCCCAGCCCTCTGCTTTGGTGAGTATGTTGGGCTAGATGCTTTCACTTACCCTTCTCTCTGTTTAAAAGTAGGCTCTCTGATGACAGGGGCCGTCGTAGTGGGGCCTTGAATGTTGCTGTGTGCTGTTGGGGTCTCTGAGGCTCACTTTTCCTGGGGCACCCATAGTTACCTCTGCTAGTTTGGGTGAGACCTCAATCAAGAAGCTAGGCAATGGGCCCAAATAAAACTGCACAGGGAAGAATTAAGAGATAGAAACTATCACAAGAAAGACATCAACTTGTACTTACTATTGGACAATAAAACATGCTTCTGGCACTGACCGGCTGGCTGTGTCTGTGGTCAGGCGACTTTGTGGAATTCTGTGAGAGAATGCCAGCATGCCAGGTTGAGGTCAGGCCTAAGGGCTTGTTTTCAAAACCTACAAAGTAGAACCCAAAGAAAACTGGCTTGGAGCACTGGGAACTCAATCACACAGCACTTGGCAACCCAAGGGAGGCATCAGGGCAAGGAGTAAAGGCCCAGAGTGGCTGTTTTGCAAAGCAATTTAGAGAAAGGAGGATTTTCTTTTTCACTGAGCGTTTTTTTTTTTTTTTTTTTTTTTTTTT